ATATTCTTAAGGGTTCTGCCATTCACTGTATGATTTCCACCTGTACTTGACTGTCCAAAATGCAAAAACTCACATTTGTCTGGATTAAACTCCATCTGCCATTTTTCTGCCCATCCCTCCAACTGATCTATATCCTACTGTATCGTCTGATAATTCTCCTCATGATCCACAACTCCCCTAATCTTTGTATCATCTGCAAACTTACTAATTAGACCAGCTACGTTTTCCTCCAAATCATTTATGAAGCACAGACAACAGAGCCCTGATCCCTGTGTAACACCGCTAGTCATAACCCTCCATTATGAAAAGCATCCTTCCACCACTACCGTCTGTCTCCTATGACTAAGAAAGCTCTGTATCTATCTTACCAGCTCACTCCTGATCCCATGTGATGTGAACATCTTGTCATAGTCCATGTTACTCAGACCCTAATAAGATTCCACCAATGAAACCTTTGTTTGCTCTTTAAGAAGTCTCTACATCAGTGCATATCACAACATCTGTTCTCTGGAGTTCCTGTGAACTCCTAGAGGTCTGACTTAAGAGGCAAGCACATTGGGAAGAAAGAGGTTCCTTCAGAATTGATGGCGACAGTCTGAGAACAGTGGGAATGGCCCTTTAAATATTCATTACAAGGTGTCAATTCATGAACTGCATTCTTATATCCAGGACACGTATTTTCTTTCTGTAGTGTCCCCAGACTGGACAGGGCTGAGATGCACTCTCTAACCTTGTGGATGCTTGCTGCCAATTGTAATAGTGAGATGACACGACCCAGTATGATACTGGACCCAACAGCCAAGAGTGTCAGCAAATGCATTTGGATGATAGGCAAATCTATGTCTATGTATTATACAAAAAAAAGACTATTTTGTACCAAACACTCCATCAGACTTAGTTTTGCATTTAACAACGTGGTAGATAGTTTACATGTCAGCTAGGAAGCCTTGCTTTCTTCACTATTTAGTGCTAATATTTATTGTCAAAATATGAAAATATATTTAGGCAATTTGATTTATTTTTTTAAAATACATTTGCAATTGGTTGGAACCAATTAATCACAAATTAAATTTCTGACCTGGCAGACATTTACCTGTGGCACTCTGGACCTGAATACTGAGGGATTAAGGAACAGGTTAAAATTTAGCAATGGCCCTTTAGATAATGCATCAATTCCAAAGAAAATTACCTTAAACCTTTTTGTTGGATGGTAGTTTTTGAGCTGAGACATTAAATCACAGCACCATCTGTCTCCTCAGAGAAGGTTCTTCTTCGTGCCCTGCAGCCTATATTGTTCCCTTGACCATAGTCACTAAGAAACAGATTATCTGGTTGTCATTCAATTGTTGTTTATGCGCAGATAGGCTGCTGAGTCTCTCAACATTACAACTGCACACTTAATTCACTGCAAAGTGCTTTAGGAAGTCCTGAGGTCATGAATTGCACTTCGCAAATGCAAGTTACTTTTCTTTAAATGCGGTGGCCATATATCTCCATCAAGTAATCGTGCTTAAAGTGAATGTGGGTCAGAGACAGACCTATGGACCCAGTTTCTGGCCCACACTCCTTTTTGAGTACTGGGTGTGTAAGGAGTGCTGAATTAATCCTCTTTTTTATTCAGATTTATCATGTGCATGTTTGATTGGATATTTCAAAATCATGAGTAGCCTGGATAGAGTAGATAGGGAGAAGCCATTTCTCCACATAAAAGAAACCAGAAGAAGAAAGCGTAGATTTGAAGTGATGTGCAAATGAAGCAAGGGTGATATGAGAAAAAAGAAACTTTTCAGATATTAAGTGGTTAGAATACGGAATGCGCTGCCTGGAAATATATTGGAGGCAGGTTCAATTGAGGCATTCAGAAGGACTTTGGATGTTTATTTGGATAGAAATAGTGCGCAAGGTTGTGGGGATAAGGCAGGGGATGAGCACTAGGGAATAGAACCAGTGAGGGCTGAATGACCTCCTTCTGCCATTCTGTGACTCTGTAAACACGATGCAAACTCAAATAGCTATTTAGGAATACATTGACAGAGTCTGAGTATAATACATTCATATTCCATCTTTTCCAATTTTATTTAATTGGCTGGTCACCCGGGCAACAGTGGATGGCTGAAAATGGACTATATATTGAATTAAATTCAGAATTTCAGTAAACAGTAGATTTTTTAGTTACACCTCATCAAAATGCTGTAATCCTGTTATTGATTCAGGACAGTTTAGGTTGGCACAAAGTAGACATAGCTGAGAAAAGCTATATTAATCTCAATTATCATCTAGAAAATAGTGACCAACACTTTTGCTATCCTTTGGATATTTTCATGAGTTTGACATTAAGATGACTTCTCCAGGTGAGCTGTTACTCTTTATGATCCAAATCTATCTGTAACTGCTTGTGCCTATGTCCTGCCCGCATGTTATTGATCCAGTTCAACAAATAATACAAACACCAGAGGCTTTAATTTTGTAAAGAATCTCCTTGTGTGATACATTATCAAAAGCTTTTTGGGAGTTAGAAGTGTTTACTTGGCTCCTCTCATCAACCATCAACCAACGACTTCAAAAAATCCAATTAGTTTTCTTAAGATATAACCTCCTCTTAGGAAGCCATACTGGGTGCCATTAATACATGCATTTCTATCCAATTAATTCTATACTGTAATCTCAAAGAGTTCCTGCACAATATATGTCCATCTTCCTGAGGACGCTTGAGTAGTTACCATCCAGGCCAGCTTCTCTATCTATTTTCAAGTTGTTATTGTGTTCAACAGAGTACATTAATCTATTTTGATTTTTCTAGTTTTGTTAATAATTGGAATAGTAAATTGGAATAGTTGAACATTCTTTGTGAGCATGTATTAATACAAATATTTATTGAATATTTTGTTCATACCAACTGAAGTCTTTCTAACCTGGCCTTTAACATTTTTTCACTACAGTCCAATGCAGTATTTGAGTGTGTTCAGACCTTTCACGTAACTTATCCAACTACTTCCATAGTTCTTTATGGTGATCTTACTGGCCTGTGAGGTCATCTTGGTTTCTTCAGCAGACCCTTTTACTCAACTGTGTTTCACCCAGTATTAGATGTACTTATATCTGTTTACACCTTTTTTTTTGTCTGCCACCCAGACATTTTCTTATCACGCCTCCTTGTTTTAACTTTGGATACACTGTGTGTATTTGTTTCCCAGTATTTTATATATCTTGTTTTTAAAGACTTCCATTTATATTCTACATCATTCTTACAGCCACTAATAGGATAGTCAGTTTCCCCTAGAGGATGCCACATTTTCAAAACATTTGTCAAATGGAACTAGCATTTCAGGGGAAACTTAAGATATGTTGAGAATATAACATTTACCTGGGGGCATAAAAATAATCCTTTCATATTTTAAGAAAATGTGACATGTTACATCTTCTCATTTACTGAACTCGGATCATTTTTTATGTGTTTGCCTGTTGCATTCATGTATCTTTGAGTCTAGAAGATAATGACAATTGAAGAAATTCCTTTTCAGGTTTCCTCACGTTTACTCTGAGAATGTCTGAGCCATACAAACCAGAAGGCTCTGAGATCCATTCAGTACTGATTAGATTATCTCAGGCAAAGAAGGGTGTTCAGATGCTGCAGATGGCCCCTGCCTGCCTTGGGTAAGAAAGGGAAGCATTGCCCTGGGATCGTCCTCCATATCATTGTGTAGTTGTCCTTGTTAGATAGTTAATGGATTCAATCTTTAATGGATAACAAAACCGTTTGGACAGAATTGGAATTCATTAAAAAATAGTCTTCTGTCACTCTCATGGCCAATAGATAAGTGTCACTTGGGGAAAAATACACTGTTGTCCAGGAGTCAATGCCTTCAGGAGAGGAGAGCGAAGAGGTGAAAATTGGTGAGAGACAAAGTTTGGAATCCAAATAAGTGTAATTAGAGGCCAATGAAATTCATTTAGTAAGCAACGATCTGATATGTCTTCCTGGGTCTTTGCCTAAAAATGCTCAGTATTTGAGAAGTGACCTTAACGTACCTGTCAGGTTACAGTTCAGAATTTTAGTCTAAGCATTCATTTCTTTTCATGATCAATTTGCTGTTACTTTAACTAAGAATAATATGAATTACAAACCTTCACTTAATGAGAATTACTTAGTTAAAATTACTTGTGGAAAATTTATAATTTTATACAACTTGTTAAAGGAAGGTCTTTTCTTTTCAGAGGGTGAGGGGGTGAAGGCCAGAGTTAATGCAGGCATTCAAGGCTGTATATTACAATGTGACTGGAGACTGTGTCTACGCAGCCTTTCAGTGAGGGAATAGCCAATGTTGCAAGCAGTGGTGGAGGGAAGTCAAGCCACTAGCGTGCAACTAATTCAAGACAGATGTACTTGAGTCAGTCAGCCAAAGAAGAGACCTGGTCTCCCAGGTGGGGGAATGGTGCATTTTGCTAAGATGAACACGGAACGATTTGAATGGGAAAGATGGAATATATGCATCACTTTAAAATGAAAGAAGAACAATGTAATAATCATTAGTAGGAGTATTGCCTTCAACCCAAAAACATACATAAAGTGTTAATAAGGCATGATCATTTTTTAATGTGTGGCTCAACGTTTTAGGAAAAATAGGCCCGCTTTAGTTGAAGAATTGATGTTTTATATATGTTGTTATTAAGGGTGTCTGCCTGCTAATTTTTAATAAATTCCATGAACTTTGATTTCTTTAAAAAAAAGAAATTAAAAATTTTTTTGGTGAAATTTTCAACAAAACTGAAGTTGTTAATCGGCCCAGTTTTGGGGACCTTGATCAAACTGACACTTGGCTTAAAGTATCTGAAGAGTCTTTTTTTTCATTAAAGGTTAGAGGTCGATGCTCTAATAACTTGACAAAGTACCACTTCACACAGACGTTTTTTTCAAGCTTAGCTTGTAGCAGGCCGAACTAGGCGTGCTTGATGTGTATTACTTGCCAGCACGTGCAAGCCCATTTCTCTGCTCACTGCAGAACACCCCCACCTGAACGGCAGCTAATCCCAGTGCCCTTCGTATCGGAGAAATGGTTTGAAATCTCCTGCTGACTGGTCGAAGGCTCTTACTCCTTGGGGCGGGCAGACATCACCTTTCTAACTCGTAAGTATGACTCTCCAGTTCAGACCATGTACTCCTTTCACATTAATTGTTGATATTGTCCAAGGAGGCAAGGCCAGATATTAAAGAAAAATAAATCCAGTGTAACCTTGGCTGGGATCAATCCCATTCAGTACATCCTAATGGCATTGTTGGCATTTCCGTGGTGTTATTGAACATCACAGAATGTGTGTGGAAATAGACTGCGCTGTGTCCTGCAGTGATTTTATTCCAGAAAGCACAACAAAGCCATTTTGTGAATGTGCTATCACGCCCTGTCTGTCAATTGGGATCTATTTTGGGCATTTCCAAATTTGATGTTCAAACTGTTTGGTTGTTCGGTTGTTCGGTTAACACAAGGTAAACATCATTTCTATCGCCTTGTTTACTTCAGATTGTCCAATAAATTTAATTCCCAGTCAATTTAGAAATGCCATCAACTGTTGAATGTGGCCTAGAAGCCAAGTCCATGAACCACATCAATCCCACCCAACAATGCTTGTGGAGCAATGGAAATTTTCACCACTTGGTAGGGCAGGCTGTTTTTGTGAAAGACCTTCCAAACACACTTACACCAAAAAGGTTTGAGTTGTAGGTCTTTCACTCTCTTGAATAAATAATGGGTCTGCATGGCCACTGGTGTGATGTAACTTTCCTCTTAAATTGTAGCACATCATTAATAAAGCCTGTATTCAGTATAAGTCTCTGCTATGTATAGTGGTGATTTGAAGATTGACATAATCGCAAGGAAAACCAATTTGAAATAGTGCAACGTTCAAATGGTGACCCATTGATTATTCGTAATTTTCAGGAAAGAAGAGTGGCTCATTAAAGCAATATGCTAATTTTCACAGGGTGGGGGTGTGATGAATTCATCTAGTCCCACTTTTTCTTCTCTACGTCCTTCAGAAACACTTCTCAGCAAAAACGTCTGAATCACGGAATGAAAATAATGGGGTTCAGGGCAAAACATTTGAACGTTGACTCCATGCACAATGACCATTCAACTTGGCACTAAATATCTTCAAAATATGGTCTCAGGAAAGCTGACCTTGTTTGTGTCTTGAATTAATATTTATGAAGCTTTAATTGATTTAATACTGATCCTTTTCAGCTTTCCAGCAGATTTGTCAATTCAATATTGTGTTAGCTATATTTACAATGGTGATGAGGTAAAGTGAATACAGTCCAAGTTACATCAAGATAAAGGGCATTTTTTTATTAGCTTATCCAGGGTGCAGTTGCTTGCTTCAAATCATTCATGACCTAAAGCATCTCAAAAGACTCCACATATTTGCAAATTGTTACAAAATTTCAGAAGGTTTAACAAAGAGAGCAGTGAAGCATTACTTACGTTGGATGCCATGTGTGACTCAACCGTTTAATGATGAAGCCAAGTTTTTGCTGTTTTTTCTAAACTAAATGTTGTTTATATTTGTTCCTGTGGAAAAAAAGCCTGATATTTGTAGAAAACTTCTGGGGTTTAAAAGCAAAGTATAGCAAGTAAATACCTATTTGTCTCTAAACAAAACTTGGCACAGGTCAATAAACACCTAGGAAGAAATCACAATTGTTCCTTGATATTGGGAATTGGCCTATAATTTAACTTATAATTATGACTTTGGATAGACAAGTTACGTTAAATCTGTTTTTGATTTAATATTAAATGCTGCAAGGGCTGTAAATGCACTGATCTTCACAAAACTACCCATGATGTTTCAAAGAGGTCTTTCCATCCATCTCACATTATTTCACATTAAAATGCAATATTTTGAGTATAGTTAATCATGTATTAATTTTACAATGATAAGCTCGTTCAATTTTATTGTTTTATAACTTTGCCTATCTTTGCTTAACTTTACCGAGCAACTTACATGAATATAACACTTTTAAGTTAGTAAAAACATAAGGAGATTCACATAGGCTTAAAGAGAAAAGAACTACATCAAACCAAGGAACATACCATTAACAGGGATAACTAAATATTTGGCCAGAGGTAAGATCCTACAGAGGCTCTTAAAGAAGGAGAGAAAGAGCATGAGATTTGAAGGAGTTTAGGGAGGCAATTCCAAACTGTAAAACCCAGACATTCAGTAATGCTGAGATGAAAGGGAAGAGTATGCACAAGAAGCCAAAATCCGAGGAATGGGACAGTTTGAAAGAGTGAAGGATATTATAGATTTAAGGAGGGGTGAGGATTTGAGTAATATAAACACAAGGATGTACATTTTAACTTAAAGATTGTGGAGAACTGCAAGCTGATGTAAGCTAATGAAAATGGGATGATAGAATAGTGTGGTTTTGTGTGGGATATGCATCTAGACTTTTGGAAGTGCCAAAGATTCAGGACTTTGGATAGCGTTAGGCAATCCAAAGGATCATTGCAGATAACATGCAGCAGCTAAGTTGCAATAGGAGAGGAAGCTTTCAACTTTAAATAAAAACTTAAACATTGCTTTAAAAAGAGACATGAAGTTGAAGCTTTTGTCTTGCATTCCTCCAGACTAAATGTAATTATTTTTAAAATTTAACCAGTTAAGGGAGGGAATGGTTCCTGCTGGTTTTCCAAACTTACCAAAGTGGAAGTAATCAGCATTCTCTTCTCATGCTGTAGAAATTGTTCTTTCCTTTCTAAAGTTGGTTTCCTTGCAGTTCAGAGTAATGCGAGATGAAAATCGTTGACTTTGTCTCCTGTTTTTTAATCGGCATTTAAGCTCTGTACTGACAAGCAATGAATCATTTGTTCCTTGGAACATGTTGAACTGAATTAAGGTTGATACTTTGCGATCTTACTGCAATTTTCCTCATTCCTTTCAACTCCCTCCACACACTGCCGTCCCAGGTTTTCTTCCTCTATGAATCTGCGGGCTGCTCTAGCCCATGGGGAACTACTGGCATGGGCCGTGATCCACTTCCTTCCACACTTTTCAAAGTGTGTTTGAACTTATGGTGGCCTCCACCATCAATGCAGATGTTTTATTCATTGCTGTCCCAAATGATGCTACCAAGACATGCACAAAGTGAGAAAAATATTGATTGAAGGGCAGGATAAGCACTGAAGCCTTCATTGTAAAAGGTGCTAACTTTGTAGAAAAGGAACCATTTTCGCTATACTCTGTAACTTTTTTCCCTGGGTTTCAGAATCATCCCATCTCTTTCTGCCTAGCATTTTCCCTCCAATCTTATAAATTTGGTATCGCCTTATCAGCAATTTCTGGCATATTTCATCTCTCTCACTCTTCTCGCTCATTCTGAATGCCCTGCATTATGTCCTTGATCTTCCATTTAGGTGACTAAACATAACATGATTAGAGACTGCTTGAAAAGGTGAGACTTCCTCATCAAGTATATCACCCATTCCACCAAATCGATTTGCTACGATCGTTATCACACGAACTGGACTGTCAGTTGGGAGAACCCCTCAGTTTCTGCTGTTCTTTCAATGAGTTACAGACTGAAGGAGCTGTAAATGCATCTTCCATTTCCACAGCTGCTATGCAGCTTTCAATGAACTCCATGTTGAACATTTTGAACAAGATTGAGTATAAACCCGAACCAGCTTGGGTATATACTTTAAGACTCTCGTGCTGAATGTGCGATTCCTTTCCAGACGTGATTACCTTGGAGTGTTAGTCAGAAAATTCACTCGATTATAATGTTATGGTTGCAATCAGGTCTCGTGTATTAACAAGCTTTCTGTCTCAACCACTGTCTCAATCATCCTTAAGAACTGTTTTCTCAGCTTTTAATGTGGTCACTGAACACTGTAGGTACCTCATTGTAAATTAAGTAGAAATTATGGATGCATCCTAATGAACTGATGGATGTGGGCATTAAATGTGCCATAAATACACATTATGCTCCTATATTATAATACATAAAAATGGCAATAAATCCCATCTGCTTTATTTGTTATGTTACAATTACAGCCATAATAATTTTGATAATTAACCACTTAACCATTATTGTATGTTCATATTCTATGCAAATTGCTTTACAAACTAATTATCAGAAGGGTCAGTTTTCAATTTGGATTGCCTTAAAGCAGCAGCAACCTTTAATTGGGGAGGAGTTACTTTGGGTTTTGATCATCATTTATCCAGCCGGTAAGTGTATCTAATTTAAATGGTCAGGAGGAGGAAGAACAAATGGATTTGTTATGTGCCACTTTCAATCCACTGTGTCACAGTTTATTCATTATATTGTAGCTTCACTCAAATACACTTTGTTTTCCTTCTCCTGCCAACTTAGAGTCCTTTTGAAACCATTTTAAGTCAACAATAAACTCATGAAAGGGCCTAAAGTTGCAACTATTGGCCCTGGAACTTTGACTCCATCTCCTTTTTTTAATCAACATTTAAGCTCTGTACTGACAGGCAATGAATCATTTGTTCCTTGGGAAAGCTATCTCAGAAATTTGAGCAACATGTGAAGCAAGCTGTCTCACAATGCTACTTTATAGTAAAAAGGTGAGTGGCATCCTCTATGAACAGGATGCCACCATCCAGCTAGGAAGGTGTTTTGGTTACCACATAAGTAAGTAGTATGGATTTGGGTTTCAATGCTAGTGTGATACCAGGTATGCAGCCTGTAGAACCCAGCGATTAACATGAAACAACACGTGCCTTTGTCTGTAGCAGGCAGTGTCCCAACTGTGCTCAACCAACAGGTGCTTGCAAACCTTAGAATTCCATGTCCAACACTAGAGATGATTGTAAAAGTGGACAGTGCCTACTAAATAATCCTGACTGTGCTTAGAAATATACCTGAAACAATTTAAAATTGAGATAACAAGATGTAGAGCTGGATGAACACAGCAGGCCAAGCAGCATCAGAGGAGCAGGAAGGCTGACGTTTACTATCTCTGAAACAATTTAAAATTGTTGGCTGGGTTTGCAGCGTCATTCATTTTTGTGTCCCAGTAGTTACACGTACAGAGTCCTGTTCATTT